ATCTCAACAGCACTCACTCCTCCTGTTGAGTGTGGGATTTCTTTCCATCTGTGTGTGTGTGTGTGTGCGTGTGTGTGTGTGTGTGTGTGTGTTCTGTATAATTTCTTTTCTACTCACAGCTTCTGATCTGAGAGTTTATCACGGTTGCCTGAGACCGCTCCTAAAGATGAAAACTCCCCTCTGTGAAATGTCCCTCATTGTTCCACTTGATCATGTTTTCTGATTCCAGCCAAGATCCTGCATGTCACACAAGTGACATCATTTGATTCTTACTGTGCCCAGATGAGCTATATGTTATTTCCCCAAAAGCTTAGAGCTGTTGCCCAAAGGTACCTAATTGATATATGGGAAGGTAGGGTATAGAGGCAGGTCCCTTTGACTCAGCCCCACAGCCCCTCTGTCTGAACTGCAATGGATTGCCCCAGGTTCCCATCTCTGGGGGCACAGAGGCCCCCTCTTCATAGAACCTCCTTGACTCTTTTGGAATGAAATCCATAATTATTGTGATCAATCTAAACAGTTAATTTTTGTTTTTTGTTTTTTTGAGACTATCTCATGTAGTACATGTTGGCCTTGAACACAATATGTAGCTGAGAATGACCTTGAACTCTTGATCCTCTTGCCTCTTCCTCCCGAGTGCTGGGATTACAGACATGTACCACCACACCCAGTTTATTGGTGTTCAAACCTAGTGCTTTGCGTATGGTAGGCAAGCATTCTACCAGCTGAGCTGCATCCCCAGCCCCTAAACAGCTAATTTCAAATTAAAGAAATAATTAAAAATGCAAGGAGAGCTTCCTCTAATAGTCTGTGCTTCTCTCATAGCACCCTGCACTGTCACTCTGTGGATGTTTGGTTTCAGGCACTTCTTAAAAAGCTGAGTCTGCTTAGTTTCTGCTGCTATCAACCCTGTACTCCTCCAGAGCCATCTGGGATGGAAGGGGGTTAACTCAGAACAAAGAAACACTAGCAGTGTGTGCATGCTGAGCTGGTTATAATATGCATGTACTGATTCCTTTTTTTCCTTTGGTCTTTTTTACATAAGGTCTCTTTGTAGCCCCAGCTGGCCTGGAATTCACTGCTTAGGGCAGGCTAGTCTTGATCTCACAGAGATCTGCCTGCCTCTTCTCCTGAGTGCTAGGATTAAAGGTATGCACCCACCTCACCCAGCAATGCCGATTCCTTTTTACCTCATGGAGTACATAGAGTAGATATGAATGCTGGGCGTGGTGGTGCATGCCTTTAATCCCAGCACTCGGGAGGCTGAGGCAGGTGGATATCTGTGAATTTGAGGCCAGCCTGGTCTACAAAGTGAGTTCCAGGCCAGCTGGGGCTACTGGGAGACCCTGTCTCACCCCCCCCCCAAAAAAAAACACAATATGAAAGTGTCCCTGTCCATCCTTCTTGTCCCTGTCAGCTTCTTGATTTGAGACTCCACACTCAGCCTCCCTCTGTCTCTACGTGGCCTTCTCTGTAACCTCTATGTTGCCTGCCCATGTCCTCCTCTTCTAAGGATACTAGAATTGAGCTTAGGGCCAGCCTAACCTCTACCATAACTCACCTTTTTTTTTTTTTTTTTTTTTGAGACAGTGTCTCCCTATAGTGGGGCTGGGTTAGAACTCACATTATAGAGCAGGCTGGCCTTGAACTCACAGAGATCCCCTGCCTCTGCCTCTGCCTCCTGAGTGCTGGGATTAAAGGCGTGCTCCACCATGCCTGGCCCATATCTCATCTTGATGCTCAACTGGACATTTCTGCAAAGACTGGCTTCTAGGAAGGTAATGTTGTGAGGTTCCAGGTGGTCAGGAATTTTGGGGGACACATTCTGCCCAGCATATGTAGAGCTGTCCTTTGCAGTGGCCTTCTTTATCTCAAAGTTTCTATTCCGGTCACTTTCACACATGCATCCTTTTCTTCTGCCCTTCTCCCCAGTTCTCCTGCTAGTGAAGTATTACAGGCAGGAAGAAGGGACAGGGCACGTTTTCAAGATCTGATGCAAGTCCTTCTGGAATGTTCATGTCTGCAGGGTTAGTTTTGTTTTGTTTGTAGACACCAAGGCCTCCTGAATACCAGGCAATCACTCAACCACTGAGCATATACCAGCCTCCAAGGCAGTATACTGGCTTCCCAGGTCAGACTTCTCCCTGGCACATCAAATGTGCTTAGTAAAGGTCAGGAATGGTGGCATATGCATGTAATCCCGGCACTCCAGAACCAGAGGCAAATTCAAGGCCAGACTGGACTATATAATTCTAATCTGGAGAGGGCTACAGAATAAGACTTTGTCTCTAAAAACAAAACAAAAGCTCAGTAACTTTCAGTAGCTCCTAAGATGTCATTAGTTCCAGGGTGTGTGGCTTCATAGCATTGTCCTTGTTTTTCAAAGATCCCAGGATGCTCGGTAGTCCCTTTCTATCCCATGCCTTCCCAGCCAAGTTTCCATCGTTGTCTTTTCAGAGCTGGGAGGATTCTGGCATCACTCTTGATAATGAAAGCAGAGAGAGGACATCTAGGGGGCTTCCTGGCCAATTCAGGGCATCAGGGTCCAGATTCTTAGTGCAGAGGCCCCAGGGGGAATACTATTGCTGGATTTCCTTCTTATTGATGGTCTCCCTTAATGGGTTCCCCTTAAAAAGAAATGGTCTGTGTGTTCAGTTTGGGGTAGCAAGGCAAAGGCTGCTGGAGACATCAGGTTCTACCACAAGGACGGGGAGGATAGGGGAAGGCCAGCAGGCAGAACTACCTGTGCAGAGAATGCAGGGCAAGGTTTGGTTCTCTTATTTTGCACTTTTTGAGGTAGGGTCTTCCTATAGCCCCAGCTGGCCTGGAACTTGCTACATAGACCAAGCTGGACTTGAACTCATAGTGATCCACCTGCCTCTGCCTCTCGAGTACTGGATTAAAGGCATGCACCACCACACCTGGAAAATTTTGGTTCTTGACTGGACAAGGGCACCACAGTGATGGATACAGGCCTCCAACACGGTGATTGCAGCATTAGTCAACATTCTTGGTTGTGAGTGACAGGACCAAGCTCATCTCCAGCTGGCTTACGGACACCAGTCACCAGAAGATACAGATGATGGTAAGGCATCCTCTACAAAATGGTTCTCTGGCTTCGTTTGTTTTCCTGGAAGGAAATTTAGGGATTGGGGCTTTCAAAGGACACTGGGATGAGACTTCCTGATGCTTGTAGGAGTTCACTAGTTTGTCCAGAGCCTCTGTGGGGGGAAGTCACTGCATTCACTGAGTCTTAGCAGCATTAGGATAAAACTGAGTGATGGGCTAGCTGGTCAATGTCCATCCCAGTGCTCAGACCTAGTTTCAGTTCTGTCTCTGGTTTCCTTCAGTATCCCAAGGCAAGAGCAGCAAATGCTCTTAACTACTGAGCCATCTCTTCAGCCCCTGTAATCAAGTCTTTAAAAGAAACCCAAATCTATAGAGATACTACTTTTTAAAAGTATTCTTAATAAATGCTAGTATGAGTGGATAGTTAAGTTTTGATATAGAATTCCTCAAAGTATTATCATGCATAGATCCAGAAACTTTCCTGCCTCTCAAAAGATGTAGCGGTGCAGATAATGTTCTTTGGGGACTCATGGTAGACAGGGTGAGAATGGGCACTGCTATATCAAACACACAGATGGTCCACAGGAGGAGGTGCAGAATGTGAGTGAAATATTATATCATAGGAATAATATTTCTAAACTAGTGCACGATAGGAATGTGTCCTGATAAGTTGATATGTGTGTCATCAATTTTTAGATTTATAAGGACACGCTTGACTGTTTCATCGACAGTCCTGTGTTGTGTGCATCTTAATTACATAGCCATGCATGGCGGACTGAGTCTTCCCGCTCTGTTACTCTCTTCCAAAATGATTTTAGCTAGTTATTTGCCTTTCCCTATATATTTCATAATAATGTTTTGTATATCTGGCTGAGATTTTGATAGAACTTGCACACAATCTGCACTAAGCCTGGGAAGAATTGACATCTTCCCTATGTTTAATCTTCCACTAATGAACACTCATACGTCTTCATTTATTTACATCTTGATTTTCTCAGCAGCATTTTGTAGTTTTCTGCACTTGTATATGTTAGACTCATCCATGCTTCATTTGTTTGAGAATTCTAAGTAGTATTCTAATTTTAATGTTTATATGACCATTGCTAGTGTACAGAAACCTGATTTTTGGATATTTGTCTCACATCTTGCAACCTTGCCAAAGTCAATTTAAACCGGAAGTAATAAAAATTGCACTTTGAGCTGGGCGTGGTGGTGCACGCCTTTAATCCCAGCACTTGGGAGGCAGAGGCAGGTGGATCTCTGTGAGTTCAAGGCCAGCCTGGTCTACATAGTGAGTTCCAGGCCAGCTGGGGCTACAGGGTGACCCTGTCTCAAAAATACAAAAAAAAAAAAAAAAAAAAAAAAAAAAAAAAATTGTACTTTGGAATTTTCTACGTAGACAAGCATTGACTTATTGATATACAAATATCAGTGGGCATGCTATTATGTGACAGAAGGGTTCAAGAGTTAGATGTGCTCCAGGGATGGCGATGTACATACCTATAATCCCAGTATTTGGGAGATGGCAGGGTGAAGACCAAAAGTTCAAGCTATGTAGGGAGTTGGAGGCCAGCCTGGGCTACATGAGACATCGGTTCAACAAAAAAGAAAACAGAGTCCAAATGGCACTATGACTTTGTAACAGGTAGAGCTGCTCAGCACTCTCAGCTGTCTTAGCTCGTTTCGCTGTTATTTCAGCTCTCTGTTGTTCTTTCGGTCCCCCAAATTAACCATCTTGTTATATGCTTATGAAATAAAGGCACTTACAGGTGCTGAGGCGAAGGCTCTTGGCACAGGTCCAACAAACAGCCACACCCAAAGGGAGCCATTTGGGAGCAGTTCTAGTCGCACCAGGACTGGTTTTGGAGGCGTAGGTCCTCCCAGTCGCACGGTGACGCTGTGGTCCCACGCGCCGACGCGGCGCTCTTTCTCCGCCTGGGTGGTTGGGGCTGAGGCTTTTGGGTCGTGGGCGGAAAGATGGCGGCGCCCACTCTCGAGCCCGTGGAGGAGGAAGGGTGCGCTGGGCGCACGGCGACCTCCGGGGTGGAGGCAGCGCTTCCCTCGGATCCCGCTGCTCTCGCCCCGCTGTGCCCGCACGGTGGGTCGGCGTCTGCGCTCAGCCTAGTGGGCTGGCGCCAAAGATGCGGGTTGGCCTGGATGCTCTGGGCTTTGGGGACCTTTCTCTGCAAGAGATTTTTCTCTTTTCATCCCCACCTGTGTGATGGCTGAAAACGTCCCCTCTTCAGAACGTGTTTTTCACCTTATTTGATGAACCCCCAGAGAATTGCTGACTGTTGTAGTTTCGGGGGAGGGGATAGGGGCTGGCAGCACCAAGAGTGCATGCTGCTGAAGAATTCACGTGGACAAGTTCTTGGGGAATTTCATTTGTTGACGAACGACACGCATACATCTGTATCTCTCTATATCTACAGCTATATGTGGTATAGAGAGATATAGATATATCTCATATATAACGTATGTTAGAAGGAGAAAAGAATTCGTGCCTGGAAACCAGACTCACTTTTCCTCCAACTTGAGGACAGAGTAATGGCAAAGCGCTCAGTTCTCTTGAGTTCTTTGTTTTATTCTCTGGACCCAGGTTTGTGACTCTCATAACGTAGACAGCAACTATATAGACAACAGCGTTTTATTTCTGGACGGACCAGTTTTCAAAATTATCTCTGAGTAGTCACTGATGGAATGCTGGTACTGAGGGGAGAAAAACTGATCAAAGAGAGTATTGTTATAAATTATTCATGAAACCTAAACAAGTTTTATTTGAGGTAGTGAAAGCAAGTTACTTGATGCAGACTTCTGTTTGACATGCTTTTTTCCTGTTCTGAAACTAGGGCCCACTCTTCTGTTTGTAAAAGTGAGCCAAGGGAAGGAAGAAGCACGGAGATTTTATGCCTGCTCAGCCTGTAGAGATAGAAAAGATTGTAATTTTTTTCAATGGGAAGATGAAAAGGTATGATGACTTTTTGGTCAGTTTTATTGAGAATGTCTAAGAAACACAGTTTAAACATTATATGAAATATCTACTTATTTAAATAAATTGATATGCAGGATTTAAAAGAATTTTTTGTTATTCCTTTGTTTTTATTTTTGAGACCTGGTCTCCCTATAGCCTCAGGTGGTCTGGAACTGTCTTAAGTAGACCAGGCTGGCCCCCAACTCACAGAGATCTGCCTTGCCTCTGCCTCCTGAGTACAAGGATTAAAGGCATGTGCCACCAAGCCCAGCAAGATTTATTTTTTACTTTTAATTGTGTGTATACATGTGTGCCTGTATGTGCACACAAATGCAAGTGCCCAAAGAAACCAGAAGAGTACATCAAGTAATAGGTTGTGAGCTGCTGCCTGTTGTGGGTGCTGGAAACTTAATTTGGGTTCTCTGCAAGAGCAGTACATGCCCTCAACTGCTGAGCCATCTCTCTAGCCCTGAGATTACTATATTAAGAGAAATGAAGATTTTTTTTAAAAAAAATTCTGGAGACTGAAGTTAATATTTAACTGTTAACTTTGATTACTGATGTCTTCCTGTGTCAAAAAAAAAAAATTAGTCCCGTATAAGATTTGATATGTTAGTGTTGGTGGCTAAGCTGTGGCTTCTACTTTTGTAAGAAGAACACTGTAAAATAGCAGATTTTGTCTCAGGAAGTTCTGGAGACTGGAAAGTCCAAGATAAGAGTCAGAGGGAGTGGTATGTACCACCCTTCTGATGATGAATTTATTTATTTATTTTTTAACAAAAAGACATTTCTTTTTTCTTAAAAAAAAAATTATTTAATGCCGGGCATGGTGGCGCATGCCTTTAATCCCAGCACTAGGGAGGCAGAGGCAGGCAGATCTCTGTGAGTTCAAGGCCAGCCTGGTCTACATAGTGAGTTCCAGGTCAGCTGGGACTACAGGGGGACCCTGTCTCAAAAAGGCCAAAAAAAAAAATTATTTAATAACCACATAGAAGAAGCATCTCATTACAACAGCATTGACATATTCAGTAACAATTTCCTGAGATAAGATGCTTCTCTTTCAAAATTAGCTGTAAATTTTGAGGTTTACAGTTGAACTAATACAGTTATACAATATTGTACTCCATGTAAACCCTATAAGACATAAAATTAAATGAGGTTTTAAACTTTAAAAAAGATCTCCATTTCATTTTAAAATTGTTTGCACATGTGTTTCTAATCTCTATATATCTGATTAGATAATAAATAAATTTAAAATGAGGTTTGTACTATCTTTCAGTTGTCAGAAGCTAGACTTGCTGCACGAGAAGCTTATAACCAAAGATGTCAGCCCCCCCTATCCCGAACACAGTGTGTACAAAGGTACTGATGTGATGTGATTTTTCTTTATTATTTCAGTAGTGATGTGCTTTTTTATGTTCCTTTAAGTTTACTTTGTTTATTGTTAACATAAAGCTTGCCATTTAACAATTTGTGTTGTACCACCATTACCACTGTTTGCTAAGCCTCAGTCAGAAGTTCTGTCACCATTAAGTAATAACTCCTCATTCTACCGCCCTCAAACCTCGGTGACCTCTCAGTTACTTTCTCTTGCATGACTCTAGCTATTCTAGATACCTGATATGAAGAGCCTCATATAATATTGTTATTATGTCTGTGATTTGTTAAATTTAATATATCCAAGGCACATCCATATTGTAGCATGCAACAGAATTTTCTTTCTTTTTAGATTGAGTAACATTTCATTTTATGCATGTGCCGCATTTTGAAAATTCCTTTTTCTGTGATGGACACCAGGCTTGCTCTTGTTTCCACCTTTTGGCCATGAACACTGGCATACAAACACCTGTTTATTTATTGCTAATTTTTTTTAATGGAAAATCTCCTAGTTTCCCTCCCCACCTCCCTTCCTCTCTCCCTCCCTCCCTTCCTTCCTTTCTTTTTTTATTCCTGTAGCCCCAGCTGGCTTGGAACTCACAGTGGTGTAGACCAGGCTGGCCTTGAACTCACAGAGATCCACCCGAGGGGTGGGATTATGCCAGCCAGCACAAACACCTGTTTAAATCTGCTTTCAATTCTTTCAGGTAGATACCTAGGAGGGCTTTGCTTGGTCATATGGTAACTCTTTTTAGGGTTTTGGGGGCCTGCTAAATTTTTCCACAGTGACTGTACCATTTTAATATTATCAGCAATGGATAGTTTCTTTATATTCCTGCCAACTCTCTGTGTGTGTGTGTGTGTGTGTGTGTGTGTGTGTGTGTGTGTTAGTGAGGATCAAACATCACAGGTTTTTGTGCATGCTAGGCAAGCACTGTATCACTGAGCTACATCTTCAACCATATTTTTAAAAATCTGTGTGTGTGTGTGTGTGTGTGTGTGTGTGTGTGTATTTGTGAGAGAGTGGGTGCACCACAGTGTGTCATTTGAGGTCAGAGGACCACCTCACATGTTCACAGTTCTTCATCTTCCACCATGTAGTGGGTTCTCTTGTTGACAGCGGTGAATGCCAGGCTAGCAGCCCACGAGCATCCAGGGATTCTCCTTTCTCCACCTCCCATCTTCCTGTAGGGACAATGGAATTACACCCACATGAGCTACTGTGTCCAGCTTTGTGTGAGTTTTGGGGATTTGAACTCAGGCCATCAGGCTTTCATAGCAGTCACTTCCCTCACTAAGCCATACCCCCATCCCACATACTATTTTTCGAGTACAGTCATCCTAGTAGTGGGGAAGTGGCACGTTATAGCTTTTGTTTGTTTCTCTAATTAGTGATGATTCTGGCCATCATTTCACGTGTGCTTTGGCAGTCGTGATTTCTTTGGAGAAATATCTATTCAAGTTCTTTTGCCCATATTTAATTGCTTTCTGTGACTTTCTGTTGTCAAGTCATAGTTCTTTATGTGTTCTGGATATTATACCTGTCAGATGATGTGATATCCAAGCATTTTCTCCCAATCTGTAGGTTGTCTTTTTTACTTCCTAAATAATGTCCTTTCATGTGTAACAGGCTTGATGTTTTTATAAAGTCCAATTTATCTAATTTTTCTTTTGTGGCATGTGCATTTGTTATCATAGCCAAGAATCCATTGCCAAATCCAGTGTCATGAAGATTTACTATAATGCTTTTGCTTTTATTTTTACAGTGGTGGGGGTGGAAACCCAGATCATGTACATGCTAGGCAGGTTCTCTGCTGCAGAGCTATATCACTAGCCCTTGGTTTTAGGAGACAGGGCCTCACTGTATAGCTCAGGCTGGCTCATAATCCTTGTGGTTCTACCTTCCCAGTGTTGGGATTATAGATTTTTTTACCACCATGCCTAATTCTGATATTTCTTCCTTGAAGTTCTAAACAAAAAGAAACCTTTTTAAAACTATAAACATGTTTTTAAAACTCAGTGTGATGGTTTGAATGAAAATATCCCCCATAGCCTCCAACTATTTGGACATTTTGTCCCCAGATGGTAGCTCTGTTTTGAGAGGTTTTAGAAGGTGTTGGAGAAGCACGTCACTGGGGGTGGGCTTAGACAGTTCTTAAGCCTTGCAGGATCTCCAGTTGCTCTTTGTTTCCTGTGCCTGCTGGAAGATGTAGAGCTTAGCTTCTGCTCCTCCTCTCCAGCCACCTCCAGCCACCATGCCTCCCTGCCAAGAGGGACTGTAATTCCCCTGGAACCGTAAGCTCAAATAAACTCTTCCTTCTATAAACTGCTTTGGTCAGTGTTTCTATCACAGCAACAGAAAAGTGACTAATACACTCAGCTTTGCTAAAAATGTTCTATTAGAATTGAAGCATAGATTTCATTCTTCAGCAAATCTGTGAAAAGAATTCATTTCTGTCCTGTCTTTTTAAATTTAATTCTTCAGCA